TGATGGGAATGGCTCTCAGGAGATATGGTAATTGGAGAACTCTGAGGACTACACTTGGGAGAAAACAGTTACAGTACAAAAATGAAGAACAATGTAAGAAAATAAATAACTTTTTTTGTAAAGGGAGAGCTGTCTTTGTTGGAAAAATTCTTTGATAATTGCTTTGAGGTAGAAACTGATACCTTAGGGGTGCATATTTTGGTGAATTATCTGCAGAAGGCAAGTGGATTATTTTATTAGTTGCTCTACAGAGGGAAGAGGAAAAGGAAAGAGGTAAGATAAGAGATGTGATGTGAAAAGGAGATGTAATCTCCTAACTAGGCCTTAAAAAATAAAAAAAAAAGGGCCCTCCCTGGTGGCGCAGCGGGTTAAAGCACTGCACTGAGAAGCTAAAGCCACTTCCGCATGAGTTCGATTCCCGCCTGCCTGGGAGGTGACCACATGGCGTGGCAGACCTCTCCTGACCCGCCCGCTGCTCCCCTCAGCAGTGTACTTCCTCGATCTGCCTGTTCTGCTCCCCACTCTGTCTCTGGTGAAGCCTCTCACCGCCCCGAGCCTCTGGCCTGTACCCCAGCTCTGTATGCATAAATAAATAAATCTTTAAAAAAAAAATAAAATAATAAAATAAAAAAAATAAAAATAAATAAAAAAAAATAAAAAATAAAAAATATGTCAAGGGCCCTCCCTGGTGGTACAATGGGTTAGGACGTAGCACTGCAAGCTAGCTGCAGCTGTCTCAACTTGAGTTCCATACTTGACCCCGGAGGTGATCCACATGGTGCGGCAGACCTTTCCAGTCTTGCCCACTACTCTCCTCAGCAGTGTATTTCATAACCTGCCCGTTCTGCTCCCCATTCTGTCTCTGGTGAATCCTTTCACCACCTCTGCACCTCTGGCTTGTAACCTGTTCTGTGTGCATAAATAAATAAATCTTTAAATATTTATTTTCAAAATTTTTGCCATTAAAACATTCAAAAAGGCATATGAAAGATGCTAAAAGTAGACTCCTTTCAGTAAAACTTATAGTACACTCAGTTGTAGCTGCATTGCTCCAGTTCCCACATTCTTTTAGAAGAAGCCCTACATTGTGACTTCTAAAATTTCAGTATTTAAAACAACACAACCAACAGGCAACTTAATGTCAATGTTTTTCTAGAGCTGATCAAAAGGCTAAGTTCTATATTCAGCATCTTATAGTCCAAAAGGAGCTAGCCCTTAAGGTTTGACTACAGAGATGGATAGACATACATCAAGAGGGAACTGCGAGACTTCACAGGTGTCGCGAAAATAGCCACAGACTATGAAACTGGATTGTTAGTCAAGTTAAACAGATAATTGAAGAATATCTGAATATTCTAAGAATAACTAAGTGATAATGTAGCTAGTCTCATTATTGCTTCATCAATTTTATATCTATATTGCTTCTGAGTAAGCTAAGAGACAGATCTAGACTTGTCACACCTGTGATCAAAATCCTTCAATAATTTCCCCTGGTTTACTAAAATAAAAAAAAGAAGAAAATAAAACCTTTGTAACACATGTAAGAAAAACCTTAATAGCATCCTGCAAAGAGCCTGCTGAGTAGGAAGTACTCAAAACATGGAGGCTGGAAATTGGGCAGGGATGGCTTTCTACCAAATATTGACTCTCTATATATATCATAGAACTGAGACAGGTCATCTCTGGAGAGCCACTAAAACACCAATAATGCCTGTCCCTCAAATTTTCATAACCCCTTCTATGACTATTTTTCCCCAAATTCCTTACCAATATTCAACATATGTTTTACTTTATTGTCTGTCTCCTTCGGCAAGCACATAAACGCATAATATATAAAATCCATGAAAATAGGCATTTTTAACTTTTAACTTCTTCAGTAATCTATCTCTAAAACCTAAAACTTAGCACATAGAAAGTGCTAAGTAGAATATATGTAGGGTAAATGAATGGATAAATAGATGATTATAGCCTCAGCTCAGAGACTATCTCTACCTAATGCCCCAGAGAGATTTATATATTCCTCTTGCATCCTCCTGTCCCATACATATCTTCTCTTATATAGAAATCTACATTGAAGTTAAGAGCATCAGTTTCAACGTACATAGAAGGGAATCTTTTGTGTGTAGTATATGACATGTCATTGAATAAATAAATGATTAATGATATCCCCATTTTAACGTTGAGGAAAATGTGGTTAAGTAGGGCCCTCCCTGGTGGCGCAGCGGGTTAAAGCACAGCATTGAGAATCTAAGGCTGCTTCCACATGAGTTCGATTCCCACCTGCCCCGGAGGTGACCACATGGTGTGGCAGACCTCCCTTGACCTGCCCGCTGCTCCCCTCAGCAGTGTACCTCCTCAATCTGCCTATTCTGTTCCCCACTCTGTCTCTGGTGAAGCCTCTCACCGCCCCTGAGCCTCTGGCCTGTACCCCAGCTCTGTATGCACAAATAAATAAATCTTTAAAAAAAAGAATGTTTAAATAACTTCTAAAGACACACACTAAGAAGTTGCAGAGGTAACTTTTCCTTGTTACTCTGCCCCCCTCTCTGTATGTTCCAACGGGTCCCACATTTTCTATTTTCTAATTTGTACCCATTACAAAGTCCCAGTTTAAATAAAACTATTCAGCAAAATCTTCCAATTGACTCTGATTTGTATTATATATCCTTTTTTCCAGAGGCTCCTGAAGTAGCTGTCATAGGTATAAGACACAGGCTACAAAGTCTCGGAGAACAGCTTATCTATGTGCCAACTATCATGCACATACTCTAACCAAAGTCTTGGTGGAAAGACCTGTTTCTTTTGCAATTAATACACCCTCCCTTGGACCCAAGTCTTAGGTAATATTCTCTTATCATCTACATATATCTCTCTTCTAAGGGTTTATGTGGTTGGTGAGGGACACAGTTGTTTGCATGATTTGGTTGAACTAACCTCCCAAAAGAACCTGCAGAATGGAGCAGATCTCCCAGGGTTACCATCCTCACCCTGAGATTAGCATTCAAGACAGCTAAGTCTTTTCTTCCCCTTTTTCCCTTCTCTGCTTTTGTTGGCAGTAGTGGCTTTAAATTTTTCCAAATATGACTCCTCCAAGGGTTCTACATGAGAAGCAAAAGTTTTTTCCTATCAAAGTTTGTCATGTCACCACATCAAAAATAAGAGACTTACTTTTCACTGAAGTAATTTCTCTCTTTTAAATAGAACAAACTTTTGAAATAATTTTTGTCATCAGTGATTCCTGAAAATACAAACATGTACTTACAGTCGAAAATATGTGCTTGTTGCTTGCTCTGATTTCCTCACCTCAAAGCTGAGTTATCATCAGAACCTGCAAAAATCCACAATAAGTTCTTCTCACCCCTTGGACTTAAAACTTGCAGTAGATACTTAAGCATCTTACGCCACAATAATGTGCCAGCCTAGTCCATAATTGAGTTACATTTATCCATTAATATGTCTCCATAAAATGTGATATCTATAAATCAGGAAGCAGCGATGAATTAAAAGTGCACGTCTGGTATTTTAACAGAGAAATTGCCAGGGAAAGGGAAGCTTCCATGTTTCCTACCCAGCCCTAATGAAAGTGGAGCTGGGCAAAAAAGGGAAGCTAGGGAGGGAAAAAAAAAAAAAGGACAGAAAAATGAGGGAGAGGGTGGGAACCTGACTAGGAGAAAGACAAAAGATGTCAAAAGGGAGACGTGGATGGGGAAATTGGATTAGTGAAACATGTGAAAAGATACTGAGTTTGTACCAGGGACTTGGACACGGAAGTAGACAGTGCTGTGAATGAAAGATGCTTGGGAAGACTAACAGTAGTACGCTTTAACTCTTGACTTGAATTTTGATTTCTCTCCTTTCCTTCCACACTTGCCCTTATGCCTCTTTACTGTGATTCCCCAATAGAAGCTGGCTTGGACTTGTGGCAAGCTTTTAGTCCTCAAAGGTCCTGCTTATGGGCCAACACCTTTTGGCTGAGCATTTACCCCTAGAGGGAGGGATAACTTAGGTTGTTTAACTGGAAACGACTGCAACTATATTCCTTCTTTTCTCTCTGTTGCACACTAATCTTATTAAAGTTTCTTTCCATTGACGATTTTACGCACTAGAGTATGTTTTGTCTTGAAGCCAAGGTGGCAGAACCCACTCTGAAGTAGGTTTGGGTGTCCCAGGGTGCCCCTCCTCGAGGCTACCCTGAAACAGTATTACACTACCTGTGTTCAAATTCAACTCCGTCATTTTCCAGCTGTATGATGTGACGTGACGTGATGTTCCTTGTCTGGCGGAAAGTTTCTTTCCCTCGTTATAAAACGGGGATCCTATGATTTCACAACATTGCTATAGTACATGTAAAAGTAGTAATAAATGATCGCTATTCGAAGACTTTACTCCGCGACAGACATTGTGGTGGAGCACTTTACATCCTTCCCATTTAATTAGCAGAACATACTGAAGAAACGCTGGATTTCTCTGTAGACAACCAAAATACAGTCAAGGGGCTCAGTGCCGCAATCGGGGCCACGATTGGCTTGCCACTGTTGGCGGGGAGAATGACTAGAAATGTCTGACCGCAACGCCTAAGCTCCTAACCCGTATGCTTTTAGTTCGATAATGTACAGAGTGCTGCTGAGACAGTCCCTAGCAGTCCTAAGACATGGAGCCCTGTTTATCTCAGTCCCTCTGCGTCAGAACCCAAGTGGGCTTTGAACTTGAGCTCGCCAATTTTCAGTCAAGCCTTCGGCCCGTTGGGCCGAGCTACACGGTTTCCACAGCAAGCAGGAAAACGCTCCCTTCTACACTGTTCTCTGCGAGGCGACGGCAGCCAGCGGTCCTGGGGCGGGGGGAGCCTGTTTCCAGCCGGACCGCGTCCCC